GTAAATAAATTAATTTAAAAAATAATCGATACGATATAAAAATGTTAATTTTCTCCTTGGAAAAAAAAAATTATAATGACACTTTTGCATGTAGAACAATTTGCATTTTGCTTTTTAAATAATTAGAAAAGAAAATTAATTAATTTTAAAAATAACAATATTTAAAAATATTCTTATGTACACGACAAGAAAATTAATTAAAATAAACTCGAACATATTCCACATTCGTGACGAAGGTTTGTAGAAAAAAATATGGCGGCGGCGCTATTACTGCCATCTGGCGACAACTCTATGTACTAATGCGAAATAAGTACTTTCGAATGGATCAGTTAATACGACATTTGTGTCATTAAATCGTTTAAAGAGAGAGAATCAATGAGAGGAAAAAAATAGATAAAAGGGCTAATAGCTGGTTTGCGTGCAGACCTCATCTATGCCTAAGTAGGCTTTAAGAAAGAAATGGATTTCTATTAACTTGCGTTTCCTTCCATTAAGTACAACCTATCTACAGAGTAACGGGTTAGAAGTAAAGAAAAAGGGGGTTAGAAGGGGAACGAGAATAAGAAGAAAAACTAAAGAGAAGCATGCAATTAAAGCACTTAAAACAATTATAGGAAATGAGGTTCGTGTTTAGGTTTAGTGCAATCGAGAACAAACATGGCACCCGTTTGTTGTAGAATGATTTTCTAAAAGGGCTTAAATAGTGGGGTTATGATAACTAATTAGAGATGTTCGCACAGCATTGTGCAATTAGTTGAATCTGCTTTGGGATCTGTTGTAATTATGTTTGCGTAGGGGGATGTTAAGATCCTTGTTTTCTAGAAAATAAGCTTCATCAGTGAAAGTATTTCTACTTCATTTTCTAAATTGGATATAAGATTGCTTCATCCATTCATTGATCTTTTTTCTGTTCGATTATCAATAAACTGACGTTATTATGTTTTTGGTAAGAAACAGAATTGTAAATTTGTAAGAACAGTTTTAAAGTAGTAACGGTTTTAAATTGTGCCAGGTCCTAGGCTACGCTGGAATAAGGTTTGTTGTAGCCCTAAACTATAAGAGAAATTTTTCCTTTTAAAAGGACGAGGCCCTAAACAGTACGTTCGTAGTACAAGCCCCTAAGATGTAGTTTATTTTATGTAAATCCGACCCTAGACCTAGGTAAGTACGAACGTAGAATATTATTCCCCTTTTATATAATGTAAGCTCATATTGCACGATATTTGATATCCTATGAGGTCTAGGATCCTATCTATTGATAGTATAGAATTTCGAGCTGGGTCTAACATGTTCTTTTGATCCATTATATTTACAGGGGCCTCAAAAACATTTGTAATATATTAATTTTTCCATTGCATTTTTCGTACATGAAAGGGGAAAAAAACCTTGATTTTTCAAATAAACGTACGATTTTTAATGCCGTTTTGTTTTATTTCAATATACAGTGTGTGATCGGTTAACGAACAATTCGGATAACGAACAGTCTTGGAACGGATTATGTTCGTTAACCGATCACCCACTGTACTGAGGGCATCAAATGCGTAAGTGATCCTGGTTTCTCTAGACCTCCGATTTTGAGTAATGGACCGAGAACGAATATCGACAATTAAGCTATATACTTATATATGTATAAGGCCTTAAAAGTATGAGGCCCTAAGCAAAAATTGGATTGCTTATACCTGAAACTGCTACTGTTTGTAGTATGGGATCTAATTTAATGATCTAAAAATTTCAGTTTTGGGAGTTTAAATGATTATTTATCAATATGGGTTTTTAAAAAATACTTTTCTAAGTTACAGTATATAAAAATAAATCTTATAAAGTATTAAATGAATTATTTTTTATTGAATGAAAGTATCTACATATTATATTTTACATTATACAAAACTTGTTATATGTTATATTTTTAAATTATTATTGACAAAATACGTTAATTAATTCGTAAGATAAATTAAAAGCATACAATTTCTATAATTTTTATATAAAGCTTAATTAAAATACTCAAACAAACTGTTTATAAAACTTTTTCTAGCTTTGCTTCACCAGAAAAATATACATTAAAGCACACAGAGTATTAAATTAATAACTATTAAGCAAAAAGTATATTAAAGCTCAAAAATATCATAGAACTTGGTCATTTATGACCAATTTATAAAATATTAATAAAACAAATAAATTAATTGGTGATAATATTTTTAATTTCAAGTTTTTGAAAGGCCCTCCCCCCTCCACCAAACACTATTAAGTTTTGAAACGTGAGATCCTAAACGCTATTTTTATAGAGTGAGGCCTTAATTAAGTTGTATTCTCGTAGAATAAGGCCCTAAGTTTATTCTTTAAACTGTATCTTCCTAACCAAAGATCTTAAGAACCTGTAGCTTGTTTAGCTTTGTAAACCTGACTGAAATACCAAGAAAGTTATAAAATTTGTAACTTATTGAAGAATTATAAAAATGTAACAACTAAAAAATAATATTTTATATTCTATACTTTTATTATAAGCCCTACAAGAAATCTACAAAAATATAACGATTTTAAAGGCCCGATAGGCAATTTATATAATATTCCTAGTTCCTTGAGTCAAGAAACAATCGATTTCTTTCCTCTTGTTTTCTTCATAGAGAATGCATTGATTTAATCCACAAGATCAACGTTATATAATCACATTTAGAGGATATATATTCTTCCTTTTAATCTTAACTTTGTCGCAAGTTTTTGCCATTACCGAAAACTAAGAACTAAGTATATTATTACAGATAATAAGTCCAAGAGAGATGAAGGAAAGACAATTCAAAAAGAGGAATTTCTCGAAGGAAACTTAGTTAATCCGATAAATAGTAGAAGAAAAAACAAGCAAATAAATAAAATTAAATAAAGAAAAATTTTTATTTATTTTTAGAAGAAATTAACGTAAACTTAATTAGTAAACTAAAACCGTTTGAAATTGAAGTTAACAATAAATTTTTTTTATATTTTATTTCAAAAACTTATTCCTTTTGAACTGTCTCTTTGATCTGTTGTTGACTTAACAGATGTCTCTAATGGACTTTGCTTTTCACTAATTTCATTTACTTCAGCTTTAATTCCCAAGACGATTGTATACATTCTTATCCGCAGAGAATTTTAAGGCTTGTTTATCATTCTCTTTATTGTCACTTTAATTCTCATATTATATTCAAGTACAAATATCAGAAAACGAATTTCCTATTCACTTCAAATTAGTCTCTTTATTACTTTTAGATAACTTCTAAGTTTCAAAATTAAATTCTTAATAACTAAACTTATTAACCTTAGACTTTAGTTCCCTTCCTGTGGACAAAAAAGAGGAAAAGGTGGACTTCAAACGTGTTATTTCGTTACTAGTTTAATTATGCACACCTTTTTTTTATGTTTTTAAACTTTAAAGATGTCTTTACTGATTTCATTTGGATTTTTTTTAATCTAATTAAATTTAGTAACGTGTAAATTAAAATTAGTTTAAATTTTTTTAAGTTTCGGACATTAGTATCTTAAAAATAATATATATAGCCTATATAACTTAATAGGATCTTATACACAAACACATATGTATGTATGTGTGTGTTTGTATATATATATAATGTACTGTACATGGAGAGCCGAGCGTACAGTACATAGGCCAAGCGATGCCAAAATTGCCCCCTTTTTTTTAAAATGTTTATTCAATTTGAAATTAATAATAAATATTTTTCCTTCTTTATATTTTCTCAGTTGACTAAACATAAAATAATTTTGTTCCGTGAAATTATAATAAATTCAAGGTGATGGACGACAGTAAACTACTGACACTGTGCAGATTTAGAAGTTTTATTGACTGATAAAAAAAAAAAAAACATATCAAGAACAGATTTAGTTCACGAAATAAAATTCCTTTCTATTTAGGTTTTCTTCATAGAAAATGATAGGCCTACCAATAAAAATTCTCAAGTTGTTTGTGAAAAAATTAATATCTTCATTACCCAATTTATTCATAGTGATACGCGTTTTGCTGACTTACCTTTCTGCAGCCAGCGCGAATAGAAAATTTCTTTTCAAATTAAAATTAATAAAGCATATTTGAGGATAGTCATGACTCAGAGCAGATTGAATGGGTGGTCGACGTTGTCAATTGAACAGGATTTGATAAATGCGCTTTATTTGGAAGAATTGATAACAAATTTTGCCCACAAAATTTTATTTTAATTTAATCTATTGGATATTAAATTAGCATTTTCTCCCATCTAGTCTCAATATTATGCAATATATAGACATACGAAAATAAAAGTTTAAAATGTACGTAGCCCTATGTATTAGCAATTTGATGCAATTTTTATACTCTTGTGCAATATAAAAGATTGTATGCTATATTTTACTTTTTTTTAAATTTCCTTTCTTAATTGTTTTAGTAATAAATTTAAAAAAAATAAAATCTTCGTAATGGGCGCCATTTATCGATACTGATCCTTGAGGCTGTACAGAAAAACCTCATATAAAGCTTAATTTTGCACTCTAAATTCTAATATAGAAGTCATTCTTAAATTTCCGTATTAAGTCCTTGACTATATATTTAATAATAAAGTTTAATATTAAGTTTTCTATTAGAACCTACATTGGAATCTTAGGCCTTATATACGGTTCTAAATTACAAATTTAAGATCTTCATGAAGTCCTTTAATGTAGTCCTATATTAATTCTTATAAGATATTAGATCTTAAATTAATTCTATAGGCTATTCTTATAGTAATATAGTAAGTCTTAAAGCAATAATATAATCCTAAATTATGCTTCTATATTAAATATTATGCCAATATATTACAAATATATATTAAATCCTACGTTAAAACCTACATTTAAGATCACGTTTTAAAGTTTAAGTTCTACATTATAGTGCGATAATAGATACCAAATTCTTTTACTGAATCTTTTAATGAAATCCTATGTTCAAAATACTATTTTAAACTAAATACTTATGTAAGATCTAGACTAAAACATTTAAATCTTACATTACAAACCTATATTGAGTCCACCTCTTGGTGCTTTCCGAGCAGAAAGAGGTCTGTGTCCCATAATCCTTATATTGAGTCCTAATTCCCGATTTACTATTCTTTTCAATTTCTTTAAAAAATACTTGTCTTTCCTCTATCGAGTCTTGTATTTAAGAGCGTGATTAATGATATCTGGTATTAAAACAGTTTTAATTTTAAAAATTACATTATAATAGACACTAAATTTTATAAAATCTAAAATAATAATCTAATTTCATAGCATAATAGCATTTAATAAGAGACATAGAAACTTAGAGGAAAGTTCATCGAAGTCATCATGCGAATGACTAAACTTTTATTTGATCGTTTCGTGACAGAAATTCATTTTCGTTGAAGGAAAAATCTACTAAATAAAGTTAAGCTTTACTTATTTAGTCCCTCGATACACTGATTTTTTTATTAAGAAGTAATTTTTCCATTGAGAACTCCATAATATTTGCGTTGGGGATTGTGTAAATTCCATTGAGAATGACATAAACTTCATTAAGATATCCATAATGTTTCAATTGAGAAATCCATTGAGAACTTCATAAATTTTATTGAATAGTTCATAAATTTGAAATTTCAACATATGAAATTTCACATTTCATTTCTTCAAAATCAAAATGTGAATTTTTTCTTTGTTTTTAGAAATTAATTTCACATCTAATTAATTTTCTTAATTTGAATAATTTCAAAATAGATCTTAATTCAAAACATTAAAAATTAACTTATATTAGCAAAATTTAATTAATAGATTTATAATTAGATGATATTTTTAATTTTATTTTTATTATAAACGTTTTAAAAAAAGATAAAAATGTAATTATATAATTAAAAATTGCGCAAGAGACGGTGAACTAATATGCAAAAATATTTTATTCTTAAGTTAATTCTAATAAAATTTTCCAATTTAAAACTTAAAATTCTCATTGAATGCATCATAAATATTTCTCACATTATGTTCTAATTATTCTTTAATTCGTTCTTAAGTTATGAAAAGTGTTACGAAAATAGACTTTTAAGATTCTCCGTGACTTAAGAATGAATTAAAGCATAATTAAAAAGGGAATAACTTTAATGACTAATTTTTGTACAAATTAAACTTGTTGTTTTTTAAAATAATGCATATAAAATACTTTCATTTGCATATTTTACAAGCAATAATATGCATAATAATATACTTAAAATAATTGATTTTAAGTTAATGTTAATGAAATTGCCAACTTAAAACTTAAGAAATCGTTGAGTACATTACAAATATAGCATTAAATATGCAATAATTATGCTTTAATCGTGTTTCAATCTTTTTAAGACTCTTCAAGACTTAAGAAAATTAAAGTATAATTAAAAAGGGAGTAATCTTTTAATGACTAGTTTTTCAGCAAAATAAATTAAAAATTTTAAGGAAGAAAACATACAGAATAGTTCATTTACATATTTTACAAACAATAAGGCGCATTTATTCTAGTGTTCTCTAAATAACAATGATCAAAAATAGCATTCATTTAGCAGTAAGTTCGTTGAACTTCAAATACACATTTTACAATTCTAAGAAGGAGAGGAGAGAGAAAATCATGAGAATTTTTGAAAAATTTATAAAATTGGTAGAAGGGGGGTTTCAAGTAAAAGGCAATAGAAGCATTTCTCTCCCAAGGCAGACATACACATATTAATTACACGGTTATTAGACTAGACAGATTGCTTTTAATTATAAGTTTGAAAGTCCTTTGAGGAATTTTCTTTCGCATCGGCAAAACCCACAAAACAAATCTGTTATCTGGTTATAAATTACATTTAATTAAATATCTTTTGATTACCAATTGATTAATTCGATATTTAAACTTGTTTATGAAAGTTATAATTCTTTTTTTGATTAAATTAATAAAATTATAAGAAAAAAAGGTATATATTTTATGTTAAATAAATCATTTATTTTATTAAATTATTAAATATCCAATTTTTCATGGTCTATAGAAGATGAGGTTATATATAATTGCATGAATATATATGGTGCATTATAGTTAGTTTAATGAGCTCCGCCCAATCGATCCAGATTAATAAAGTCGTAATAGTATATCCTAATTAACATCTCATCTAATGTTGAACAAATTGAAAGCATCAATTAGTGCTGATAGGGGATTGATGAAGAGTTATGTTCAATTATAATGTAGATACTATGCAGGAAGGTACTCGTGAATTGCTTTAAGCACTCTCTTCTATTTATCGCTAGTAACAGATGTGCTAATAAATTACAGTTTAAAATATATTTAAAGAAAATGTTTCTAAATAATACTTTAGACCAGTAGCTAAACTTATATTTATATTTTAAAATTTTAAAATTAGCTTTATACACTTGAATAAATTCTTTGTAGATTTATTTATAGTTAAGATCCTGTGACTCACATTTCTTTTTAAATCCTAATTGATTTTTTACATATTTTAGCTATTTTATATGTAAAATTTAAAAAATGTTTAGTATAAATGCTAATAAAGTATATTTTAATTTTATTCAACAATATTTCATGAAATCAAGAAAAATTATAGCATCAATTTCTTTTAAATCGGTCTGTGATGAATACTTTTACATAAGAAGATAATTAAATTGATTAATATTCGATGTAAATATTGATTTTATACATTTTAAAATTTATTTTAATTTAATTTATAAAGTAAACAAACATTTAAAATCTAAATTATACAACTTTTCCTACAATATTTACAAATAAAAAGTAATAATTAATAGACTTATAACAAAATATAAATTTTTAATTAAAATTAAGATTATAATTAGTAAAAAAATCCAGGACGAATCTACAATTAAAAACTCTTTTGGGTAGATAAAACACTCCAAAATTATAAACTTTTGAGATAAAATATTCAAATTTATAGCCAAATAGATTAATTGTGTTTAACTTTAAAAAATTAAAGTAGGGGCTTATGCTATAGGATACAGTTCATTTAAGGAACTTTCTACTCATAATCTAGAAGATATATGTATTATTGTATACATAACAAATATCTAAATATCTTATAATTAAATATTCCAAAAAAATATAAATTGTAAAATACATATTAAATATCTAGTTTAATGAAAAAGTAAAGATTTCTTTTTCTAGTATGCAATTCTTATTCTTGGCTCGAGTAAGAAATGCAACCATTATTCTAGATTCGACCGAATACATTAAAGAATGTTGATTAATTATTCTATATTTATATCATTAAATATTCTTAAATTAAGATTTGTCAGCTATCCCAATAATATAACTAACTAATAAGCTTAAAAGTGTAAAAAACTGTCCATTTTTTTGGACATTCAGATTTTCAAGATTTGACTATTTATACATCTACAATAAGAATAGCATATTGATATTACAGTGAATAACTAAGACACTGTTCCTAAAAAAAAACCTTAAGGTTTAAATTCTTGAAATCTTTAAGAAAAAATTTAAGATAATTTTTAGATGCCACACCGAGAAACTACAGGGATGTAACGTAGTTTTCTAAGAAATTATTTGGTGAGTGACATGTTTATCTGATCCTTTTAAGGCAGTGATTGATCGTTTGGATTAAGATAAACTCATGAGGTGATGAAATCGTTCTAAACAGAACATTCACTTTATATATATAACTTATTCTAGAGTACGAACAGAAGAATCACATTCTTTACAAGTACTGTACAGCATAGACCTATTATAATTCTTGAAAGATTAGTTACATTTATATGCCTAAATTCAGTTTAAAATATGTGTAGGCCTATATAATATTTAATAAAAGCATAAATTTATTTGAGTTAGCATACTTAGCATAAAATTCAAGATATTAATCATCGCATTTATGGATTTAAATACAATTTAACATCATTCTATAGCTTAAAATTATAAACTTACTAATCTTTCTAACATAAAACGCTCCTAATAAAACTCTAATTCTTAAAATTAGTAACAATTAAAATAAATTTATACCTTATACAATTTTAATTAACATTAAATATGAAAATAGATCATTAAAAAGTTAATATTTTGCCGATTAAATTTCAAATATTAATTAATTTAAATTACAATTATTTTCATGTTAATAAATAATTTTAAATAAAATATTCTAGAATTTCCAACAAATATATAATAAAATAATTAATTTATTGGCTATGTTTAAAAATGAAAAAATATTAAAATATTCTTAGTTGAGGACTAAATTATAATTATGCCAAAGTAAAATTTAAAAAATAAAGAAGAAAAAATACTATAACTTAATTAAAATTTTCCCTTCAGCTTCTTATACCAAAAGAGAATTATGATATGGGCCTATAACAAGTTAATCCACCCTTATGAATGTTACAAGCTCACTTACTGTAGAATAAGAAATTTTGAACAATTTACAACCCTCTACAAGAAAACATTTACATTTATTTCAACAATATTTACAACATTTTAATAAAAACAAAGAAAAATAATAATAAAAAAACACAGCAAAATTGTAATTACAACATCATAAATTTTGTGGCTAATTNATTTCAACAATATTTACAACATTTTAATAAAAACAAAAGAAAAATAATAATAAAAAAACACAGCAAAATTGTAATTACAACATCCTAAATTTTGTGGGCTAATTCCGCTTCTAACTCTTAACTGCCTTAAACAATTGTTACAACGATTAACAGAATTAAAAAAATTAAAAATATATATAGAAAAAAAGTCGATAAAATTAAAAAAATTTACAAAAAACTCAGTAAGTGGAAGTAAAAATAAAAAAGAAGAAGAAAAAGTGACTGGTCTCAGCGGTCGGACCAATTACAACTAAACCATTTATCACTTAAGCGAAGATTACAACAACTAAGTTAATTAAAGGTTGCCACCGATAGGGGTGGTTATTATTCCCTCCCCTCTTCATCCCAGCTGTCAATGTAACGCTTAGCGCTTAAATAAATGCATTACGGGATATGTAAAACTCGAGTATAATGCGCGCCGACCAGGGACGAAATTATCAGAATATTTTTGTAGATTTTCATTCTTCTTTTCCAGCGTGTACCCAATTACGATAACTTTTTCGATATCCTATAGCGTTTTTATTATCATTTTTATTAAATTATATAACCCGATATCGGTTTTAAAACATCTAGAAAGAGTGGGAGAGAGAGACACGCACGTCCATAACTAGCGGAGTTGCATTAAAATTATATTTTCTTCAAATAAAAGAGAATAAATCTAGTTAAAATAAGAATAAATCCACTTATAATTAAATAATTTAACGTCGTAGAAGATCGATAAAGCGTAAGAAATCACCAAATGATGAAACAATCAGCGCGTATCATTTCATAAAACCTATCGTGATCGACTGACCAATCATCGAACATTCTGACTCTACGTCACATTTTTCAAATTAAAAAAAAAAAAACGGATTTATTATTATTTTTATTATATATTTCACAAACTACAAATATTCGTGTAATAAAATTTTTTAAAATAAATATATTATTAATACAAAATTATTTTAAAATATTAATACTTAATTTACATTTAATAGAAATGAGGGATATAAGAAATCTTTTACCTTCATTACTTCTTCCTTTTGGTGGATGACGTCACGGCCGTTCTCACGCCCGATTGGCCACTCTCGTTTGAGCGACTCTCAGATTACATCCGAGGGCCACGGATCACTGATTCGGATAAGCTCCACTTTTTAGTCTGACTAAAGGACCCCTTCCCCCATTGGCGTCCCCTCTCCTAGGAAAAGACAAAAAAGGAGATCCCCTTTTTAGTAAGAGCGAAGGGGGAAATTGAAGGTATATTTTTTATCGATATAATAAAGTCCGAATCGGTTGAATGCATCTTCTCCATCAAAGGCTGAACTTAGGTAATGCCTCTCAATTTTCGGTAGATCCAACTTAGTTCTATTCTATGCCGTAAGGAGGCGCATAATTTTTTCTTTTCCTTTCTTTCTTTCGTTCTTTTTTCTTTCTTTTTTAAATTTCTTCGAAATTCTTTTTAACGTCGAGATTGTGGACTTATTTAAGCAAGAGTAATTTATTTGATCGTAAAAAAAAGAAAAGAAGTTTCGATTGATTTAAAAGAGTTTTTCGGAAATTTTTCTGATAAAAGGACGCTTTTTAGAAAAAGAGATTTGATTTATTTTATTATTATTTTTTATTTTAATGTCAGATTTGAATTTGGTAAATTTATTTCTATACTTAAATCGAATTTTTTGAAATATTTTACTTTATTTTTTATTATTATTATTAATTCAACTAACTGAATAAATAGGAAAAGGAACGTTAGTAAATTGACATTGTGGGAAATCGAACTTGAACTCCACTCAAAAAATAAGAAAAAAGAAACCAAATAAATTATGCCTTAAGCTACAGGAAAATGGGTTTGATTTTCTAATTTGCCGACATCAATACTTGCCCCCATCTTTAAATGAAAATTGTAAAACTTTCTGTTTGTTTCTTGGATTTAAACCTTTTGTATCTATTTGTTTCAATGGCTAAATTTGTTCAAGATTAATTAATAAACTTGCTCAAAAAGTTTGCAAAATTATTCGCATTGTTTTTATAGAATAAAATATTGAGAAACTTGGAAAATGCTATTTGTAATTTTCAGTGGTGGTTTCAGATTTTGGAAGTCCGAACAAGTGTGGACTTCCAAAATCTTAGACCCTTTTTATTTACAGTAATATACAGCTCGTATCTCATAATAGTTGTTACTAAGAAAAGTCTAAGATACAAGACAGTATTAGATTCTGAGTACTAAATTTGACTTTCACAAATAGGCCCTATATGCTTGTCAATACTAAGATTGGTAATGACGGCATATATTTAAATGTATTTGAGGCCATAGGTAAGAAAGGATTTGAAAAGTTTCTTTTACGTTATAAAGCTCGTATCACATTATACTTGATATTGTATAAGATCTAGGATCTTAAATAGAATTGGATTGCGAGCAAATATATCTACAAGCATATACTGTATTTGCTCGTGTCTGAGATCTCAAAAAGCCCAAGGCCCTAGGTAAAAATAGATTTGCAAGGCTTCTTATATATTTATTTCATATTGTACAAGGTCTTAGATCTTAGCTAGTAATGGATTTTCAATACTGAAGTAACATCGAAGCGTGTATTTGTGCGTGTTTGAAGCCGCCTAAACAAAAACCTATATCTAAAACTGTCACCGATAATGTTTAAAAGTCAAATTTACAATTTACAAAGTAAAATTTTAAAAAGTAACCATATAAAAATATTTTAAATATTTCCCAAAAATGTTCACACGTAAACTCTAAAACCAAAAATTAATTTTTAATCCCGTCATCTAAAGCGGAATTAAAATAACAGAAATGAAATTTTTACTTTCACTACTTATCCCCCTTTTATGACGCCCAGGATATGGAGGTAATTTTTTTACAAAATGTTTTAATTAAAAAATAAAAAAAAGTAAAAAGAATTTAGCGAAAAAAGATTTGATAGTATATATGTATATGTGTGTGTATTCATTAAAAGTTTAAAAAAAAAAAAGGAGAAGAAGAAGAGGAGGAGGAGAGGTAGCTGAAGAATGATTATATAGGCGGACATATTTATGACTATCATCCTTTTTAATTAATTAGTGCTATTAAAAATGTTTCGCTCTGCTAGTTCAACGTGTAATTAATGAGAATTACATCTCTAAATAACATCTGGGACTTTGAGTTTCTGATGAGATTTTTCGATGCGAGTTGATTTCTGCTTAATTTGATTTTGGTTCATTTTATTTATTTAATTTACTAGTTTTAATATCATTGTTGTTGTTATTATTATTATTATTACTATTATTATTGCTGTTGTTGTTGATTAATTTTTATCATTTAATTTATCTAATATTGTTAATTAAATATAAATGAAGAAAATTAATATAAAGATAATAGTAAAATATTAAAAACAGTTATTTTAGAAATTATTATAAACCTATAAACATAACCCATAAGTCAATTAACTGTTAATATAATTAATTTAATAAATAAAAATATAGCTTGAACCCTATTTACATTTGTGAACGAATTATTAATTATTCATTCAAATAAATTATAACATATTTTTAGAACAATTTAGATTTCCTGAAACAAACTCTTTTAAAGCAACGAGGAAAGCTAAAGTAAGCTTATAAAAATATATTGAGAAACACCAGTTCTAAGTTTACATAAAGAAAAGATTAACATAACTAAGAGCTTATTATACAGTGTACAGTACAACCAATATGTAGTACAGTACATAATGAAGAGATTAGCATGGCTGAGAGCTGATTATATAGTATATAGCCAATATATATTGATATAATAAAGCTCTGAATCTGCATATAAAAGCAATGATTTATTGAAAGATTTTAATATAGTTCTATAGAAATAATTAATTTTATGAATATTAAAGAGCTTAAAGAGAATTTAAATCTATTTATTATTGTAAATCCTGATTTAATAAAATTAAGATCTAAAATAATGTTTAATTGTACAGTAATACCTCGACTTACGCTACCCCGACTTACGCGAATCCGAAGTTACGCGATTTTCAAATCTCGTCGATTCATCTTTTGTTTGAGCGCCACACAACTTTGGATTACTCACTCCCCCCATACTATTGTTCAGCTTACATGTTCGGACGTGTCGCGCGGAATCGACACATAGCTACAATTTATTTTGTGTTATTTATTTCTGTGTTTGTTATATCTACGGAGACTTGAGAGACTCTATGTGGTGATTTCTTGTAACCGTGAACGAATCAAAAGACGAGATAAGATTAACGAGAACATTTATTAACTTACATACATCCGACTTGGATTTTACATAAATTGCGAAATTATACCCCGACTTACGCGGTTATCGCTCAGTCCCACCTATCGCGTAAGTTCGGGGTATTACTGTATTTTATATTACAGTAGAGCGTCGTTTATCCGAATCAATTGGGGACTGGGGTTGTTCGGATAACTTGTTTTTCGGATAACTGGTTAAGTACGAAAAAATATATTAACCTACCCCTTGTTGAAATTTTTCTCCGTTGCGTGTCGCTTCGCGTTGAATTTTCGTCGATGTTACGCCTGACGTATACTTTTTAAAATAATAATCGTGGCTATTGTATCGTTAAGAAATAAAAAAATAATTTTTATTATTTCTTTATTTCTTACAAACAAAATAAATATATTGAAAAATATAAAAACAAAAAAATATGTACTTTAGAAGTTGATCTAGTATCAAAAACGTTCGATTCAGCACGACACACAGTCCTCAGAAAAACACCACACAAAAGTGCCAGTGCTGCCAGCTAAAAAACACACACCAACAAAAATATATATATATATATATATATATTGGAGTAGCCCAAGATATGGCCAAAGATTGCAGCGCCACAGCACTAGCGAAAATTTAAATTTGCCGACCGGAATGCTTTCGGATAATCGACGTTTCGGATAAACGACGCTTTTTTGTATTTATTAATATTATTTACTTTGTTCTACAATTGAATTGGATGAAACGATATAAGAACGATAAGAAATAATAAAATTAATCAAAACTAACAGATAAAAAGATTATCTATTAATTTTAAAGCACTAGAATTAAGTATAGATAAAGCAAAATACTAAAATATTTTTTTAAACTTTCATAACAAAGACATGTGCCTCAAGTCATCAGTTTTTAAAAGGACAAAACTCATATTTAAAACAATGTAATAATTTTTAGAAATTGTATTATATTTATATATTTTTAAACAATTTTAATATAAACAAGCATTTATAACAACCTGTAATTTCTTTAAAACTAATTATATGAACTTTAAATAAAGGATAACAAATTAAAATGACCTTTTTAGGAGACAAATTATATATAAGATGCCTAAAAGTCAGTTAATCATACGAATTGCTCGACCAAATTATCAAAAACTTTTTAAAAAGTTTTAGTTTAATTTAATAATAATTTATAATATTCGTATATATTAAACAATAGTAAGTTAATAGTAAGTTAATAGCATGAGTTTGTCGAGTAATCAACCAAAGAATTTTAAATAGCTCTAAAGTAAGACATATCTTGTTTATTACACAAATTATAACTTTTAACAAATTATTTAAAATCCTTTAATTTGTAATTCGAGCAACTACACGGTTTACTGACTTTTGGACCATCTTATATTCAAATAATACAGTATACATATAAAAGAGGTATCCTAAAAGTTCGGATTGTTAACCGAGTGAGTCACTCGAATAATCTATCAAAGGATTATAATTTAATTTGTAAAAGGGTTGCACTTTGTGTAATGAACAATAAAGATATCATTTTAAGCAATTTTTGTAGTTTATAATAATAAATTATTTGAATAAGATGAAAATGTAGCCTTTATAGTGGTTAAACAACCTTTGGATATTTCATAATAGAAATAATAATTAATAATCATACAATAGCACAGATACAAATAATCTTACACAGTGGTTAATCGAATTTTGGACCACCCTGTATATATATTTTAATTTACAAATAACAGTTTTCTCTAAATTTTATTAAAACTTTACAAGGGTGGAAAAAACAATAATAAATTCTCATAAAAAAATAAAAATACGAAAAAATACATATATTTATGTATATATATTCAACCTGCTATACATGCACGTACTAAATATTGACAGGATAAAAAAATAATCATGAAATATTATTCTAATTACTTCTGCTCACAGATTGATAACAACATAAAAACATACCCCAGAAGTGTTAAAAAAAAATTTAAAAAATGAATAGGGTGTGTGTGTAGATAGAAGGATGCTTTAAAAGTG